CATGGGTCCTTGGGCAAGAGACCTAACAGTGCTGTGCCTTAGAGCCTTCATCTGTAAAATGGGCAGAAAACCTCAAACTACCTCATAAGAATGTAAAGATTAAATAAGCCAATATATGAAAAGTACTTTGAACAGGGTCTGTTACCCAGCAAATACTAAGTGTCAGCTTATTTATTTTTTTGCTTAGGATAGGATGTTGACTTACTTGCAAAGTCACTTCATTCTCATCAAGAGGATTTAGGGGCAGGATTTTCTACCCAAGGCTGAAACCTACAAAAAGAACCCTGCTTCTGTTGCCCCCTTTTTTTTTTTTTTAATTTTTTTTATAGAGACAGTCTCACTTTATCCCCCTCAGTAGAGTGCTGTGCCATCACAGCTCACAGCAACCTCCAACTCCTGGCCTTTCGCAATTCTTTTGCCTCAGCCTCTTGAGTAGCCGGGACTACAAGTGCCCGCCACAACGCCTGGCTATTTTTTGTTGCAGTTTGGCCAGGGTTGGGTTTGAACATGCTGCTCTTGGTATATGGGGCTAGCGCCCTACCCACTGAGCCACAGGCACCGCCCCTCTGTTGCCCTTTTGTTCCCTGGGTAGGGTTAGGAGAAAAGCTCTAACCACTGCTGGTGGTGCCACTCATATGTCATCAAAGCCCCAGCTGCCGCCATCATTTCCAAGGCACCAATGCAAGGAGCACCAGATGACTCTGGGAGGTCAGACAGGCCAGCACTTAAAAATCAATATGGGCTCGTGCCTGTAGCTCCAAGGTGCCAGCCACACACAGCTGGTGAGTTTGAATCCAGCTGGGGCCTGCCAAACAACAATGACAACTACAACCAAAAAATAGCCGGGTGTTGTGGTGGCGCTTTCGGTCCCAGCTACTTGGGAGGCTGAGGCAAGTGAATCGCTTAAGCCCAGGAGTTGGAGGCTGCTGTGAAGTGTGATGCCACAGCATTCTACCTAGGGTGACAGCTTGAGGCTCGCCACAGCATTCTACCCAGGGCGACAGCCAAAAAAAAAAAAAAAAAAAAAACCAATATCCTCAGATTTCCTTTGGCAAATCTGTCATGCCATTCTCCCCTCCATTTATTATAAATGTACTGCTAAGTAATCCTAACTTGAAGGTAGCTGTCTTTTGGTACTAAGACATTAAAAATGATATATTAGGCCTGGTGTGGTAGCTCATGTCTGTAATCCTAGCACTCTGAGAAGCCAAGGCAGGAGGATCCCTTGAGCTCAGAAGTTGGGATACTAGCCTGAGCAAAAGGGAGACCCCATCTCTACCAAAAATAGAAAACCTTAGCCATGCATGGTGGTGTGTGCCTGTAGTTCTAGTCACTTGGGAGGCTGAGGCAGGAGGGTCACTTGAGTTCAGGAGTTAGAGACTGCAGTAAGCTGACACCATTGCACTTTAGTCTTCATGACTGATACTCTTTCTCAAAAAAGAAAAAAAAATTTTTAACCTTTTCCATCCTTTTTTAGGCTTCTTACAGACCTAGAAGTTCCATTTGTTACACCTAATTCTCCCCCATGTGTTTCTATTTACCCTTCATTCATTATATATTCTTAATTTTTCTTCCAAATACTATGCAAAACAGTTAGTTTTACATGTCTACAGCTTTCCAGAATTATCACACATAGGAAAATATGGTGCATTAGTACCCAAATTTACAAGTAAAAAAAAAAAAATAGCACTTTAATACAATGAACAACATTAAAGAGCTAAAACTACACCATTCCCATGCTCTCTCTCGCCTTAACCACTGAGCGCCAAAGACTTGTTTTATTTTCATCTGCAAGGCAAAATATTAATCTGAAGTGGACCAAATAATCTGGCTTGCTGACGACACACTAATGTTTCTTGAATTTTTTTTTTTCTTTTCAAGACAGAGTCTTACCACATCACCTTTGGTAGAGTACTATGGCGTCACAGCTCACAGCAACCTCAAACTCCTAGGCCCAAGTGATTCTCCTGCCTCAGCCTCCCAAGCAGCCAGGACCACAGGCGCCCACCACAATGTCTAGCTATCTCTTTGTTACAGTTGTCATTGTTGTCCAGCTGGCCCTGGCCTGGTTTGAACCCGCCAGCCTCAGTGTATGTGGCTGGCGCCACAACCACTGTCCATAGGTACCGAGTCATTTCTTGAACTTTTTAAAGCATGATTTACTCTATAGGACAGGGGGAAGAAAGTAATGCCATCACTGGAGGATTGCTTGAACTCAGGAACTCAAGACCAGCCTGATCAGGAGTGAGACTCCAACTCTACTAAACTAGAAAAATTACAGGTGTCATGGCAGGTGCCTGTAAGTCCCAGCTACTCCAGGAGGCTGAGGCAGGAGGATTACTTGAACTTAGGAGTCTGAGGTTGCTGTGAGCTAGGCTGACACTATGGTACTGTAGCCTGGGTAACAGACTGAGACCTTGTCTCAGAAAAGAAAAAAAAAAAATTACAGTAATGCCATCAACCAGATTCTGCTTACTTCATCCAAGTGCCAAAGAGTAAGACAGTTAAGAAAGGACACTGATGTGATTGAGGAAGCAGCACAGCCTGGCCTAACTGACAAATTTCTCTGGGTTTTTCCTTCAGATGCTCTGGACCTTCCTGATAAGGGTTGGAAGCTTCATTTTGAACTCTGTTGATGAGTTTTTAAATTTTTTTTTAATTTTTATTTATTATTTTATTTTTTGAGACAGAGTCTCACTACGTCACCCTCAGTACAGTGCTGTGGCATCACAGCTCACAGCAACCTCAAACCCTTGGGCTTAAGAGATTCTCTTGCCTCAGCACCCAAGTAGCTGGGACTATAGGCACCCACCACAATGCCTGGCTATTTTTTTTGTTGCTGTTGTTGTAGTTGTCTTTACTGTTTAGCTGGCCTAGGCCTGGTTTGAACCCGCGAGCCTGGGTGTATGTGGCCAGTGCCCTACCCACTTAGCTACGGGCACTGCCCTGTTGATTTTTTTAAAAAATGAATTCTTCAGCTTGGCACCTGTGGCTCAAGAGGCTTAGGTGCCAGCCACATACACCTGAGCTGGTGGGTTCGAATTCAGCCTGGGCCGCCAAACAACAATGATGACTGCAACCAAAAAATAGCTGGGCATTGTGGCAGGCACCTGTAGTCCCAGCTACTTGGGAGGCAGAGGCAGGAGAATCGCTTGAGCCCAGGAGTTGAAGGTTGTTGTGAGTTGTGATGCCACAGCACTCTATCCAGGGCAACAGCTTGAGGCTCTGTCTCATTAGAAAAAAAAAAAAAAAAAGAATTCTTCTCTTACAATGTATCCTACCTTTGATTTTGATACAGTTTTGAAAATTTTTCTTCAAATGGAGACATTTCTCCATTTCCTGTTTGAAAATTTGGCAAAAGACTGTACTTACTTTTTCAACTTAAGTACTTTGACTTCTTCCTTCTTCCTATTTATTATTTTTTAAAATTATTTTTAGTGCCTTTATACATAAATGGTATACTGAATAAGTAAATTACATCGTTACTATTCACTGACTTCCGCAAGTGTGCAAAAATATCTTTCGAAGTAGATCCATCACAAGGGATAATTTTTATGACTGATTATGTCTTGGTAGAAAGAATGACATTATGATTATAAAGCTTAGATTAAACTAGTAAATTTTTTCTGAAAACACATATCCTAAAATTTACGCTGGATTCTAAAGGTTTCAGAACATAGTAACACTTTTTTTTTTTTTGAGACAGAGTTTCCTCGGTTACCTGGGCTAGCGTGCCATGGTCTCAACCTAGCTCATAGCAACCTCAAACTCCTGGGTTCAAGTGATCCTCCTGCCTCAGCCTCCCAAGTAGCAGGAACTACAGGCATATGCCACCACATACAGCCAATTTTTTTTTCTATTGTAATAGAGACAGGGTCTGACTTTGTTCAGGGTAGTCTTGAACTCCTGAGCTCAAGCAATCTGCCTTCATTGGCCTCCCAGAGTGCTAGGATTACAGGCATGAGCCACCGTGCCTGGCCTCACAAAAAGTTTTATAATCCATTTGTGATATTAATGTTCATATCCCTCCATATGGACAAATAAATATCATCAAAATAATATCCCTCTCAAAAAAAATCCCTCTCTTCTTCCTTAAAAAAATAAATTTCAAGTCTTATCACAGGTTACACTATTCCCAAAAGGAAATCCCTCAAATGGTCTGTCAGACTATGAATTCCTATGCTGCCACTGATACACTATTACTAGATTTAAGTGTATCTTAAATTCAATTTACTGGCAAAATTGATACACTTTTCGGCACTAAATTGAGTTGTAACCGAAAGACTAAATTGAAAGAGTGGGATATACCTAAACCAAAACCTAACTCAGTTGGTCAAGCACTATTAAAAGATCTGGTTAAAAGCAAGCTGGACTCAGACACCACTCTGCCACCCTTGGTAGAGTACTGTGGCATCATAGCTCACAGCAACCTCTAACTCTTGGGCTCAAGGGATTCTCTTGCCTTAGCCTCCCAAGTAGCTGGACTACAGGTGCCCTCCACAACATCTGGCTACTTTTAGAGATGAGGTCTCGCTCTGGCTCAGACTGGTCTCCAACCTGTGAGCTCAGGCAACCTACCCTTGGCCTCCCAGAGTGCTGGGATTACAGGCATGAACTACTGCACCTGGCCTACTCAAACACTTTAATATTAATCTATAGCTATTTAGTGAACATCCACTATGGATAGGGATCTCAGGGGAGAAAAGGACAGAATAAGACAGTCAAAACCTCTTATGGGCAAGTGCTCATCTCCAGATGTGTTCTAAATTTGGCTCTACCATATGTGTTTCTCTGGTAAATTTCTTAGTCTGTCTAACTCTCAGTTTCTCAGAGAGAACAGAGATAATAAACCCTATTCCACAGAGTTTTAATGGGGACTGAATTAAATGAGCCAATATAAGGAAAGTGTTTCTTATTAGGTATCAATAAATGTTATTTCCTTTCTCTTCATGTACTGTCAAGAAAACTATAACTGATAAGTAATAAACACAGCATTCTACCTGGAAAAGATCTGTCTTCATCACCTCCATGAAGAGAAACTCCCTTATTTTCTGGCATATACTTCTTGGTAATGGGCAAGGACATCAGCCGAATATGATGGATGAATGAACGCCAGGTGTGAGCTCCAGAAAGCACCGGTTCAGGTGCTAATGGGCTGAAAGGTTGAATCACAAAGTAGGCAGTGAGCAAGATTAATCCCATGGTTATGATGACCTACAAAAAAAACACAAGTAAGCCATTAATAATTGTCCCAGCAAACAAAATATCTTAATTCCAAGAAAAAAACATGCCTCTTCTGCTATTTCCAATATGCCTTAAGAACTGATACATTTTCATAAATAAGTTAGTTACATTCATTTCTGGAAGCATTTAAAACTTTAGAGCTGGACAGTCATGGTGGCTCATGCCTGTAATCCTAGCACTCTGACAGGCTGAGGTGGGTGGATTGCTTGAGCTCATGAGTTTGAGACCAGCTTGAGCGAGAGTGAGACCCATATCTACCCCAAATAGGAAAACTTAGCCAGGTGTTGTGGCAGGCACCTATAGTCCCAGCTACATGAGAGGCTGCAGCCAGAGGATCACTCGAGACCAGGAGTTTGAGGTTGCTGTGAGCTATGATTCCACAGCACTCTACCCAGAGTGACAGAGAGAGACTCTGTCTCCAAACAAACAAACAAACAAACAAAAGAAAAACAAAACTTTAGAGTTATGAGGACTGAAAGGCTTACAAAACTTCTAATATACAGTCAGGAGCTATGTCCACCATTACAAAATACACACAAATAAAAGTTTAATTATAAATACACAGCTTTTACCTAGGACATTTAACAACATTGTCAAAATTTCCAAGTAACACATGGTAACAAGAAGAAAGGCCAATTTATTCACAGAAAAAGCAAGGCTCAATAGGGGAATCATGCAAAAATATTTGGGAAGAATGTCTAGGAGTTTGTGCTCTAAGTGATTTCTAAGTCAGAAGATAGCATTACCTTAGACACAGCTATAAGGAGAGGATACTGGGGTGGCCCCCTCTGAGGTTCATTCTTTTCCAGGAGCTGCCTGATAAATTTTTCAATTGCCTTCTCCGACATGCCACACTGATGGCCTGTCTGTCGCACCAAATCAACAGTCTCTGAAAGTTTGTCATAAATGCTGAGTTCATTGGCAGCAAGATCCATGTCTTCCAATATAAAATCCCTGAGAGAAAGAAAATAAATGTAAAGAGAAACATGGTGAGGTACTTCGTCCTCAAAGCTACTACTTTAGAATCGTGTTTCTTGACCATCTGTAGGGAAGGACCAGTTTTCTGTTTCTCTCAACCCATGGCAGACTAATACTTTTATAAAATACAGTATGTTGAGACCATGCCAAATTGCTGTACAGGTTTCTAAATCCTACTTAATCGTGGGTTAGTACAGTTTACTATCAGCACTGGTTTCAAACACTCTGAAGAGCACTAGTCTAGAGCACAGTGGATCCTAATGGTACTCTGAAGCACTATACTGACATATAAAATGATTTCTGAAACTAATCACAGGAGATCTGTTACTAGTAATTTACTAAAATAAAAAAAAAAGGAGTATAAACAGCATTGTTACTCATTTATTTCTTTCCAATTATAGCAGATAGACCTTTAACAATCCGAGAAGAGAAACCTGAGAGGACCCCTAAAGGTGAGATTTACTGTGGGGAATATGGTAATAAGCTTTGTTCTAGGCAGAGCAGGGACTCCAGACAATACAAAAACCCTGGCACGGAAGCTCCTCAGACCTTGCAGCTTACAGTCTCATGCTTTTCCACAAATATAATTTTGGATAACAAAAGACAATTTATTTATATTGTGTATGCTTAAAAGATCTACAACTCATTTCAAAATTCAATTTGTGCTCAAGGTTATTTTAAAGCCAGGTTTTTTCATAGCGCTCCTAGAACAAAAGGCAAAAACTAAAATGGTAAAGTAGAGTTCTCTCTATACCATTTGTAAAATAAAATTAAGGTCTTTTTTTAAAAGTTCTTTTTTTTTTGAGACAGAGCCTCAAGCTGTCCCCCTGGGCAGAGTGCCGTGGCATTACAGCTCACAGCAACCTCCAACTCCTGGGCTCAAGCG